CTGACTACTTGACAAGCATACAGAGATTTGCACCCTTAATCACTGAAATTCCCTGAATTTTGATGAGTTTCAAAATTTAATATGTCTCAAGTTGTAGAATTTTCTATTTTCTTGCTCCTCTGGACACCTGCAAGTTCTGGAAAGCATTCTAATGGAACAAGAGCTAAGATTTATTGAGTCAGTCCTTGGTGTAACATTGTCACACTTTGTCTTCGTCATGGTCCTTTTTTTGTGGTCATTATTTCCTCATTTAAGAGAAGAGGAAAATTTGGTTAAGCAAAGTCACATAGCTAAGTTAAGTGGAATATCCAAAATCAGGTTGATTTGTCTAAATCCGAACCCGAGTTCTTTTCATCCTACCATGCTGAGGATAGACTAAATTTGCATTTTTCAAATGTGGGTACTGTTGGAAAAAAAAACTGTTATATATCTTTAACCTATTAATATTTGCAAATGCTATCAACATTTTAGTCTCATGTTACCTGAAGAAAGCTCACTCTCTTGCTCCAAGTAACTCAAGGACCAACTGTCCCCCAGTTCTCTTGTAAGACCTTTCTTAGGTGTGATTTCATTAATAACCACCTGATCCTTTGGGAGACTAGTGGCCTGAAAGGTTCAGACTTTCATTTTATCAAGAAAAAAATCCAGTTACATTTAACTTGGAGTGTTTAGATTGGAGAGAATATTAGACTCATAAATACTAATTTTTGAGAAGTCACTGGGGCCCCCATGGATAAATGGATTGACCTTCAGCGAGTACATAGCTGAGAAGCCAACTGTGCTGCCCTTTTGTCAGGAAATCCCTGAAGTAATGGATTTGACACGGTGGGAGAAGTGAATCCACTGTCCTCATGGCCTGACGAGATTGTCCTGGTGGCAGTTACATGTGTTCTTTGGCAAACAGCCATTTCTGCAGCCCCAAACCAACAACACGTCAGTGGTTGAAAGCCATGTCTTGGGAGGAGCAGATCTACAATTCTTTGGCAGCCTCCCCAGAGTGAGTGATGTGGAGAAGCTCTGTGAAGATTGAAGAAAAGATAGCGGAGCAGGGTTAGCAGGTCAGGCTGCAAGTTTTAGCTTTCAGAAAAATAAAATTCAGAGACTAAACTCAAAGAGAGGTCACACTGAACTCCAAGAGATATACCCTGAGTCTACAAACTACCTGAAACAGGACTGTTTGTTTCTGCATTTTCTAGGGAGAGGGACAATTCTTTAAATTCATCAAGGACCCCACAAAGTTAAGAGTCCTTGATCTATTTGTTATGTAAACACGTGTAGCTCTGTCAGGTCACAGTCCCTGTGCTATGTGCAGAGGGAACCATTAGAAATAACAGATCAAGTGTGAGGTGGCCAGCGGGGGGCCTCCACCGAGGGGAAGTCATGTCATCCATGGGAGGCACTGTGACATGATTCGGCTGTCTGTCGAAGATGTGGCTGTCTCCCTATCATGCTGCAGCTCAGTTGATTTGAGTTTGACAATGATGACCCAAAGACTGAAGACAGGGCGGGAAAAAAAACAAAACAAAAACAAAAAACAAACATGGCTTGAGGGAAGTTGGATGAAGAATGTTTGGAAACGATCTTGTACTATTTTTGCAACTTTTCTGTTATTCTAAAATTTTATATATATATATATATATATATATATATATATTTATTTATTTATTTATTTGGAATAAGGTGACTCTAGAAGAGAAGTTCCATGGATTGAATGGATGAGGTTGACCTTGGGAATTTCGATGGCAAAGGGGCAAACATAGTTTAGTGTTAAAGACCATGGATTCTGGGGTTGAGAAATCCTGGGTGATTCCCAGAACTAGTATTTACCCACCGTGTGATCGTCATTTTGCATGCCCCCATTTTACAGATGAGAACACTGAGGCTCAGAGAGTTTAATAACAGGTACTTACCTCTTGCTGTGGTCACAGGAGTTAAATGAGATGATTCAAGCAAAAATGCCTGGCATATGGAAGCATACGGTGAGTGTTAGCTGTTAACATGATTATGATAATAATTATCAAAATCGAGGCAGAAGATTTTAAAAGACATGAACAGGCTGGTGAGATCAAGCAAATTCTACTCCTGACATCTAATGACCTTCCCATATGTCCAAGTGTTTTCAGGGGCTGAAACTACAGAAAGAAGTGTAGTAGTCAGTAGGGTAAAATGGAGGGAGAGTTAATGGATATAGAATGCAGGAAAACAAGCTGGCTGGTGGGGGCCATATTGGGGAAATTTCTGGATCTCCATGGAAAAGAGTAGGCTGATTGGTCATGGGACTCCGAGAGCCCTATATTATTTTTTTTAAGATTTATTTATTTATTTGAGAGAGAGAGAGAGCATACATGTGGGCGGGAAGCAGAGGGAGAGACTCTCAAGCAGACTCCCCGCTGACCATGGGAACCTGACACAGGACTTGATCTCATCACCCCGAGATCGTGACCTAAGAGGAAATCAAGAGCTGGCCACTGCACCCACTGAGCCACGCAGGTGCCCTGAGCCGTATATTATTAATAATCAATATCATAAGCTTTGAAATTTGGATATCAGGTAGGGCTTGAATTCTTTCTCTCAGATAAGTTTTTAAATTCATAGTCCCTTTTGAGTAAGACGACATCTGTCCATTTGGGGACCTCGGGATCCTTCCGCAATAGAGATTCGATTTGCCATTTAATTGTTAAGGCCCTGGCTCTGAGAAGACTTGCCCCCACCCCACACCGTGTGCCCAATGACTCTGAATGCCTTAGACCAGCTTTCAAAAGGTAACTCCATTAACCCAAATGTGACAGTAAGAAACAAGTCCAAACTATTACGAAAATGATGCAGTCATGATCTGTAGTCACTTCCCTTCATTCTTACTGTAGACGGAGTGTGTTATTTCCCCCTTGAACTTGCCCGTGATTTCAACATGATATGTTATCATTTTAATGTCTGTGGTCTGACTCAAGAATTGAGTGATGAAAAACTGAGACACATGAAAAATGGTCCATGGTAAAAGCCTATATTAAGAACATGTTCAGAAAAGAGATTAAACTAATTGCATCCAGGGGAATGTGGGTTAGGAGAGACCGACTTGTGTTCCTACTTAGAGTTCTAGTCTCTGAACACATTTCTCTATTTGATATGAAATTATAGTAGAAAGGAGTTAGCCTGAATAATAAATGTAGTGATAACTGAGGGGAAAAAACATTGTGAAGCCAGAGAACTTTGGTTAAGTGAGGCTGATGGTGACTGTGGGAAGTGTGCATAGCCACGGGTTTGGGCTTATTATTTTCAGTGATGGGAACATTTCAGTTTTCCATGGTCCATAGTCTTGTTTACTGAGCTAGTCAGTATTAAAGCCATTTTATTTTTAGTTTTATTATTTTGTAGCAATGTGGGATGAAGCAGAGATTCCCTACGATTAGAGGAAGGAATAGCTAGGAGAAATATTTCTGAGAATACAAAGGAAATACCTGTTTTGCATATCAAGGTTCTTGAAACCTGGGATCACAAGGGAACAAAATCATTAGCCAAAAAAAAGCAATCTTTTTCATTATTGTTATTAAAAAAATTCCTCTACTTTCCCTTACTGTAAAAATCAAGCTAACTTAGAATATCTGGAAAACATAGGAAAGATAGAAGAAAATGAAAAGCACTACCACAGGCAATATCGAGAAAAACATCAGCATTGTTTTTTGCAATAATTTCGAGTCAAATAAAAATGTCTATCTCAGGGCACCTGGGTGGTTCAGTGGGTTAAAGCCTCTGCCTTTGGCTCAGGTCATGATCCCAGGGTCCTGGAATCGAGCCCCACGTTGGGCTCTCTGCTCAGCAGGGAGCCCGCTTGTCCCCCTCTCTCTCTGCCTGCCTCTCTGCCTACTTGTGATTTCTGTCAAATAAACAAATAAAATCTTAAAAAAAGTCTATCTCTACATAATGTCTGCTTTCGTGAATATACAGTTAGGGGTTCCCCTTTGTATACATGGTGAAAATTTTCCCCATATCGCCAAAACTTTGCTGAAACAATGATTTTAAAGGGGTAGTTAGAGGTCAGTTTACAGAGAGCGGCTCCCATTCGTCAGAAAGGTCAGCTGCCACACACAGACGCTCGAAGGAAACGTGCTCAGTGGGCTGGGCATAAGTGTCCCCATGTGTTAGGTGCAGAACGTCCTTGCTCAGCATGACTGTGCTGATAGATGGCTGAGAGGTACTGACGAGCAAGTCTCATGGCTCCCAACCCAGTCCTGGTTTCTAATCTTCTATAAATTAAATGATACCTTTTCTCCTCTCTGAACCTCAGTTTTCTCTTCCATCTGATCATTGCCAAGACACTCTCAGATCTATGGTGTTGTATCTCTAGACTTGGTAGGTTGGTACCATGAAACATATGTTCATCATTAGCATCATTATTATTTTTACATTTTCTTTCTTTCCATGCCTATTATGTTGTTGCTCTAGTCCAGACACTGACTGACATGGTTTCACGTGTAACATTGACAGTCACCCTATGAAATAGGTGTCATTGTTATCCTCATACTAGAGACAAGGCAAGTGAGGCTCCGAGGGCTGCAGGGGTTAAGTGGGGAGCAGAGCTTCCGCTCTGCCCTACCACGAAGGCGAAGCAGCCTGCGTCCTGGAACATCATCAGGAGCATCACCTGGAGCTGGACACGCCCTCAGTCAGTCTCTCAGCCTCCTCTGTTGGTCACCTGGTTCCTCACTTGTTGGCTTACTGGTCACGGAAGACAGAATAATGCTCCCTCCCCACCACAGATGTCCATGTCTTCATCCTCAGAACCCATTCCGTTTGTTAAGTGGCAAAGGGCAGTTAAAGTCGCAGGTGGAAGAAGGTGGCTAATGAGCAACCTTTTCTATAGGCCATGGCCAGGATCTTCAGATACTCCCAGTATAATCACGACAGTCTTTAGAAGTAGGAGCAGGTGGAGAGGAATCAGCATCAGACTCAGCCACGCTATCGTTGTCCTTGCAGATATAAGGACTCAAGGGCCAAGGTGCAGGTGACCTCTAGAAGCTGGAAGCGATCGGGAAACAGATTCTCTCCTAGAACCTACTGGAAGAAACACAGCTCTACTGATGTCTTGATTTTAGCCCCATGAATCTGTCATCGGACTTCTGACTTCGAGAACCCTAGGGTAATCATTTCATGTTCTTTTTATGCCACTAAGTTATGGTCATTACTGTGGCAGCTATAGGAAACTAATACAGAGGGTGTGCTCTGCGAATTCTGGAAGTCGGGAGTTTTCCGGTATTGACGGGGCTCTGTGCTGTCCGGGGCCAGAGCAGCAGGGCGTCGAACAGGTGCTAGTATTTGGAGCAGGTGGGCAACAGTGTCAAGGTCTGAGTAGTTGCCTGATTTTGAACAGGACTCAGTTGTCAGGGGCTTGGGTGGGACCAGCCCCTCGAAAATAATTAACAGTCTCTTCAAGAATGAGTCAGGCAGATTTTAAAGGGACATAGAGGGATGTGTGGGGGGCTCAGGTGGTTAAGCATCTGTCTTCAGCTCAGGTCCGGGGTCCCGGGATTGAGTTCCACATCGGGCTTCTTGCTCAGCAAGGAGCCTGCTTCTCCCTCTGCCTGCTCTGCCTGTAGCTCTCCCTGCTTGTGCTCTCTCTCTCTCACAGACAAATAAATAAATAAAATCTTTTAAAAATTTTAAAAATAAAGATAAAAATAAAGGGACATAGAGTAATGGGATATGTTACACTAGGATCTAGAGCAGGGCTGTCCAGTGGAAACATAATTAGTTACGTTAGTCAGTTATGTTTTCTGTCTTCAGAAAATGTTTTATACTTTCTCTTTATCCTCCAGATTCAGACTTTATAGAGGTAATTTAAGTGTTGCTCAAGAAACATTAATTATTGTTGTGGTGGTTCATCTCATTTTTAATTGAGTGTTTATTTAATATTATCTTTTTCAATGGCATTTTTTAATGTGTTGCAGTTCAAACCAAGATATAACCTCTTCATGGGAATTGTTAAACTTATCAGTAGTACTGGTGTTTTATTGGTTACATATTAAGTTTTAGAACTTTTTCAAATGGGAATTGTATTGGTCTGCTGGCTCAGGGAAAATAGACAATTGAAATGCACATTGTTTGTTTCAAGATGATGGAAACAGAAAATAATTCTGAACAAGGAAACATCACCCAAAGGCAAGAAGCCAAAAGAACAATAGTGGTTAATATAGTAAATCTAAGCCTAAGTAAGTCCTTTCTCTTACATTTAAACAAAAGGGCAATAATAGTTCTATTTCATAAGAGCATCCCTGGGAGTTACACATGAAAATATTTTTTCCCTCTAGGCAGTGTTTGAATTTTCCTGTTCTGTCATCTATTTTTGAAGCAATTTAATATCTGGTAACATCTGCTCAGTCTGCATGATCTGTATTTCATACTCAGAATAGAACATATGGCAGCATATAAGAACACATCGCCTGTTGTTAAGGAGTCTTATATTTATTGACTATATTTATAACTTTTCTGTTCTCTCCAAAGGAACAAAATCCAATAAAGCAAAAATAAGAAATTGGGCACTACAAGGCAAGGAGACTGAGGAAGGAATCCATGTAATAACTCTGTGGGTTAATATATTTACTATGATTGACCTTCCAATTTGGCTCTGAGTTTCCTAGTAGCAAGAGCAAAATTTAAAAAAAAAAGGAATTTAAAATATAGAGAGTGCCCAGTAGCAGAAAGTTGCAATAAAAACAATTTTGTAAGGGATTTCCCCATCACTACATATTTTTTTAAATTTTAAATCCAAAAAGTATTTTCTCATTGCAACCACTTTGTTCAACAGTAGAGAACCCATCAGTGTGTTCTAAGGTAGTTCTCAAACTCTGGCAGGTACTGGAAGCTCCTGGTGGGGGGAGACCCTCTTAAAACAGGTATCTGGCTCCCATACCCAGAGCTTCTGAGTCACTGTGGCCTGGGAATTTGCATTTCTAACAAGTTTCCGGGTGAATATGATACTGTTGGACTGGAGCTACACTTTGAGAACTACTGATTTTAAGGAGATTGATAGAGATACATGAGCAGAGACACCGAGTCTGGGAAAATATCTTTACAAGAAGTTCTGTGGTACATGCGACAGCGATTCTGATACAGGTGTTCCTGGGAAACATCTTCAGCAGAAGCAAAGGGCACAACTGTGTGGAGGGGAATTTTACAACGTGCACAATTAATGTGGTCCAATGACATCCATTTGCTGTCCATTTTTCCAAGGATGGAGTGTAGAGTCCCTAAGGAAGTAAATGAATAATAGGCTTCTAGATGTAGATTACTTTCTCTAAATCTTGTTCCTTTTAAGCTGGCTTTTGACTGAGACTCAACTTTTTGAGGCCTCCTATTTCTCTCAATTGCTTTCTAATTCAGGATGGTTGTCTCTACACGTATGAACATAAGAGTTTGCTCCCACTCCTTCCAGAAATCCCACTGAAATGATCGGAGAAGGAATGAAATCCTATCTGCCTAAGAAGGGCAGAGGGAGCTTTCAGTGAGTCAGTGAAGGTCATGAGTAGCCAGAAGTGGTCATGAAGATGGGGTCACATTTACCCCCATTAAAAATACTTTCATTTTGTAGTAGATTCATTGGAAATTAAAAACAACAACAACGTACAAGGAGATTCCATACAAGTTCAGTGAAGGGAGTCACCCTTCACCCAGCCCAGTGTTCTCCAGTGGTAACATCTTTGCATAACTTGCAGAATATCAAAGCCAGGAGATTGATATTGGTACAATCCAGAGTTTAGGCTGATTTCAACAGTTTTCCATGTACTCTGAATATGTGTGTAGATGGGTACAATCTTATTGCACATGTTTACCCATGTAACTACCACCACAGTCAAAAACCAGAAGTATTCCACCATCACAATGTCTATCCTGATGCTACTGGTTATAATCACACCCATGCTGTGCCACGGCCTCCATCCCCAACTGCTGGCAACTGCTAATCTTCTCCCCACCTCAATAATTTTGTCAAAAGCATGCCATACATAACCTTCTGAAATTGGCTTTTCCACTCCATGTAATTCCTCTGAGATCCATCCAAGTTGTTGCAGGCAGCAGTGGTTTACTCTTTTTTGTTGCCATATATTATTCCATGGCATGGCTGTAAGACCATTTGTTTACTCATTTACCTTCTGAAGGATTTTTGTAGGAAGAGACCCAGAATGCCCAGTCCAAGGCAGTAATAGTTCAGTTAAATTTGTGAATTATTCTTTGTTGGAATATCAGAGACCTTCCTGTCTTGGGTTTGGTAGGTTTACCGAGGTGAGGGTTAGAAGAGAGGCAGGAATCCTGGTGAGTATTGAAAGACTCTCTAGAGCTTTCGTGTGGGTGTTAGCGCCCCAGAATAAAGCACACTCTGGCCTGACATTTGGTGAATGAGTCCGTCACTCTGCCTGCCTGCTTCGGACTGTCCATCCCACGGGGAAGCCTACTTATTTAGAGGCTTCCAGCTTGAGTTCCTGGTCTCAGGCAAGAGGTCCCAACAGGGAAAAAAACCTACATACAAACAAAAAAAACAAACTGGAGATTCACTTCAGTGACTTCTATTACCTGATGAAGCCCTCGTTTGAGGACTACATGGGAAGAGTCAAGACCACCAGACAGAAATCCCTAGTATAGACAAGGGCCAAGATGAACAAGTGGAACACTTGACCCTGGAAGACAGAAATAATGCAAGGAACAGAAGAGAAATTTAACAAAGCCTAATCAGTGACTGTGGCCATTTAAGAGTGGGCTATTATAAAGAAGAAATGGAGAAATCTGGGTTCTTTTAAATCAGTGGTCTCAACCTGGGGCGATTGGCAGTAACTGGAGATGTTTCTCGTTGTGTTGGCTGGAGGCACTGGGATGTTGGCCTTGAGCAGGCAGAGAGGCCAGCATGCTGCTAAAATACTTCAGTGCATCCTCCACGTGCATACTCCACAACAACCAATGATCCATCCTAAAATGTCACTAGTACTAGGGTAAGAAAACCTTGCTCGAAATTAAAGCCATTATTGCCACAATAATCTTAAGAAAGAAATACTCCTTAACACCTGAAAGAAATATTATTAGAATCTCTCAGGATGTAAAACAAAAGAAACAGAGAAAACATGGGAGAATCATTGACTTAGATGATCAATATATGAGGGCCCAACTCCCAATGACTAGAAGTTCCCCAGAGGGAGAACAGAGACAACGGAATCAAGGAAATAATCAAAGAAATAGTAGAAGACAACTTCCCAGTGTTGAGCAAAGACACTAGACTGAAGCAGGATGAAAGGAGAAAGGCTCATTTTGGGGGACACTGTGGAGAAAGTGGCTGTGAACATATGAGAATTTGGGGGAGGTATCAGAGAACTCAGCAATGTTTGCCATTTTTAAGGCCCAAATTAGTTCCAAATAAATAATTCTAAAAAGTTTCCAGTTTGGTTTGCAGTTTTTTCTTCATTAAAATTAACTCTACTAGAATGTCCTTGTAGATAGATCTTGATAGCAGATGGTTTGGTTATGGGTCTTTTTGTCTTTTAAAACCATTTCCTTATTCATGCCACAGACCTACTGAGGGGCTGGTACCAAAACCCTGCCCCTTCTTGCCTCGCTCCTGCTGTGTTGTTAGGGAAGGGAAACCTCAGTGAGGATCCGGGCAAAAATGTTTATTTTCTAGGGGATGAAGCTGAGTTCCACACAGAATGGGTTAATGATCCAAGGTCATTGAGTCAGAAGGTCTGATTCTCAAACAATGGATATTCCAGGCAGTACCCCAGTAACAGCAACCCCATGGAGTTTTGTCTGAATAACATCCGTGGACTTTAATGGGTAGTGCTCAAATTCATAGACTTAGATGATTTTTTCCCTGTGGTTAATGGTCCTTTGTTTATATTTCTCAATGCCCTTGTAGTTTTCTTGAGCAATATAGTTATTAATGTACACTGCAGTTTTGTTGAGGATAACTTCTCATCTTGCATAGCACAATGTCACAAAGCAAATAGTACAGTGTCTTATAGGTAATTGGAATTAAATGAATGTTAATTAATTCATTCAACAGATAATGAGTACCTATATGTACCAGGTACTAATTAAGGAGGTATACAGTGGAACGTAGATACATTCTTTGCCTTCATAGAGTTTATATTTTATAGGAAG